CTGAAGCTGGCCCGGATGGAGTCCTTGATGGTGTTCTTGATCTCCTGCAGCCGGCTGCTGAGGAAGCTGTTCACCCGCTCCAGCTCCAGCTCCGGCCACTCCAGCAGCTTCTCCTCGGCCGGCTCCCTGGCCTGGCTGGCTGCGGGGGCACGCTCTGCCCGCTTCTGGGCCTCTGCCTCCAGCTGGGCCTTCTCCTTCTCCTGCAACACAGATGCCATGAGGACTGGGTGGCCTGGGCCACAGTGCCACGCACCAGCTTTGTCAGGCAGCAAACCCAAGGGCTGATACTCAGCACAGCCACCCCGATGTCTTCCACAGCCACCAAACTGCCCCCGTGGGCACAACAGCCACCACTCTGGTCACAGGGCACCAGCACAAGCCATCGGGCACTGCCTCTCCTCGCCACAGATGCTCAGTGTTCATCAGAGCCATGGCATGGATCAGGCAGGACAGCGCAGCTGTCCTGCTTCACTAGAATACTGCTCCTAAGACTCTCCCATTCAGGAAAACTGCATTTCTAAATGATTTCCACACTCCTTTTCAGTGGGAACAAGCTGATGAGACACTCTGGTCTAGTTTTCAGCCAACACTGGAATGCAGGTTGCTGTAGTGATCAGGGACTGCTTGCAGTTTCGGTGATGCACCTCTCCTGCCAACATTTTCTTTACAAGAAGTTTAGAGGAGCAGATACTGGGGCAGATGAACAAATTGGCCAGTAAAATGCTATACCATATGGTATACCATAAACATCAACTACAACCTGGAGAGTTTGCTAGGGACAGCTCTTTCATCAATGGCTGCCATCCCAAGAAGGTCTTGGCCCCCCAAGGCCAACTCCCCCATCGTATCAGCCAAGTATAACTCTGTGTACTTTATATTAATACTGTTATTAGGACTGGGTCTTCTTATTATTAATTAAATGTTTCTATTTCAACCCATGGGTCTCCTTTCCCTTTCCTGATTCCCCTCCCCAGGTGGAGAGGAGAAGTCACGGGGTGACAGAACTGCCTAAACAAGGATGCCAGCACCCCAAAGTGCCTGGGAGGGCTGGGCCACCCTCTGCAGGAACAGAGGCAGGGGACGCCTCGCAGAGCTGGACACTGCAGACACCTCAGGGGAGAGGGGCAGCAAAGGACACAGAGTTAAAGAAACGAAACGGATGTGAGGGAAAGAAGGCAAAGCCCTGCAAGGAGCAGTGTCTCTCTCTGACCCCCCTTCAGGCAGCACTACCCTCTCTGCCCAACCTCACCTTCTTCTTCTGCTTGTGCCGTGCCCGCTTGGCCGCCTTGGCGCTGTTCAAGGGCTTGGGCTCCGTGCTGTTGATGTAGTCCAGCAGCTCATCCACGTTGCGGTGGTCCACAGCGGGCTCTCCTGAGCTGCTGTTGTGCCCCAGTTTCTGCGGCAGCTCCTCTTTCCTCTTGGTGAGGCGCGAACGCAGTTTCTCCCGGATCTCAGCGTAGTTGCGGCTCGTGGGAGCGGCCGGGGGCTGCGGGAGGCAGACGCTGTCAGGCCGGGGAGGCACACGAAGCCAGCGCGACACGCAGGCAGCCCGGCTCCCCCATCAGTCCCCTGCCAGCCTCCCCAGCCGCTCCCTTCCCTGAGGTCTCAGTG